CTCCTTTCTTCTTTGAAGATATTTTGCTGAGTGAAGCAAAGAATAACTGGTGCCATTTCTCCCCTACTAAGTCCAAAACTTGATCACTTCGGGTGGATAAGCTTCCCTGCAGCTATTTCCCCATGTTCTCTTCCATAACTTGCCTAAAGCAAGCAATTCCCCTGGCTGTATCCTTCTCTTTAGGCTTTCATGGTTCCCCCGCTCCCTTGCTGCCTCTTTTGATGGCAAATAGCACCAATGGAATATCTAACCTGGCTTTCTTGAGCCTAGACACTCTAAAGGTAAGCGGGTTTTCAACCTACATGATTTTCAACAGTGGCAGGGCTGGCGGGGAATTTGGGAAATGGTCAAGACATCTGGGCTGACGCCGAAAGTGAAACTGTCCAAGCGAGCCAAAGGACTTGAGTTTCCCCAAACATTATTCTAGACCAATGTTTCTCAATCTTAGCAGCTTTGCAATGCAAACATGCTGGCTGGGGAATTCTGCAAATTAAATCCCACACTCCTTGAAGCTGCTGAGGTTGAGAAACATTGCTCTAGGCCCATCTTCATGGGCTGAACTGTACCTTCCACATTCCTAGTTACTATGGCCAAAATCTGTAAGGCATAATAAGCTTGAGGAAAACTACTAGACTTTATGGCCTGGGAGGATGGGAATGAGAGTCCAAAAATTTTGGGAGGATTCAGAATTGGTATTCAGTCCTCTAGGCATCCATCCTACATTTCCTAGGCAACTTCTCAATTCAACCTTTGTTCCACTACTTAAGTCAATAAGGTCATGAAGAAGATAAAAAAAAAATCTTCTTGGGTAAAGTGTTCACTTTAGAACTGTTCACCAAGTTGTTTTCCTTTGGTAGAGAACTTTCCGCCAACTTTACATTTCAGTGAAGTAGCACGTTTAATGCCCTCTCATTTTGAAATCTTTAGCTGTGGTGGAAAAACATTCCTTTCCTTTCCTTTCCTTTCCTTTCCTTTCCTTCCCTTTCCCTTTCCCTTCTCTTCCCTTACTCTCCCCTCCCCTTCCCTCCCCTCCCCTCTCCTCTCCTCCTCAAATAAATCATCTAAATTCTATCCTCCTGGGGTCTGTTTTACCCATCTCCGCTTTGACTCTCAAGTTCAAAGGAGAAAAATTGCAGTTGCCAAGTTCCAGGCTTTCTTAGCCCTTTTATACTATTTCTCTAATATACGGTACATCGATGCTATTCATGCCTCTAACAGCTTGCCCTGCATTCGCGCTTTACCGAGGCAGTTGTTTTATTTTTATTGCAGGGATAAATGAAGAAGAGGAAGAAAACCTGTTGCTGCTCCTTGATTAACCAGGAGGTATATGGGATTCAGTCAGGAATGCCTGCAAGGGAGAGTTGAAAAGGTCAAGACAGCAGCCATAATCACACAATCACAGCCTGACCCTTTTGTGTGGATAGTAAGGGCCAAGGCTGCAACCCTATAGTCATGGCTGTATTTTGACTATTTAAACCTACTTCTGACCATCCCTTAGCAAACCCCCAGGACTCAACATAACTATTTAAATAATATATAAGAACTGAAAGAAACCATTGTCCTGCAACGCCTAGCTATTCCCCTGCCTTTTCTGCAGTAATTCTCCTTCTACCTTTGGAACTATTCCACCTATGAACATGTAGTGTGGAAGAGAACAGAAAATGCACTCAGTAATATTAGTTTCACATTTGGTGATGCCAATTTGTGTCTGATAAGACCTTTCATTGATCTTGCTTGCTTTACACAGGTAGTCCTCACCTTATGACAATTGATCCCCAAATTTCCATTTCCAATCAAGACAATTGTTAAGTGACATTTGCCCCATTTTACAACCTTTCTTGTCAAATTGTTCAGTGAATCACTGCAGTTGTGAAGTGTATCTGGCTTCCCCATTGTCAGAAGTTTACAAAAGGTGATTGCATGACCCCTGGGACACTGCAACCATCATAAATTCATGACAGTTACCAAGCGCCTGAATTTTGATCAAATTTGATCATGGAGAGGTTGTAATGGTCGTTAAGTGAGAAAACCAGTCATAAGTCACTTTCCCCCCCAGTGCTGTTGTAACTTCAAACAGTCACTAAATAGATAGTGCTAAGTCGAAGACTATCTGTATTAGGCTTCTGCTAGAATTTGTCAAGCAGGAGAAAAAGGAAAAGAGGAAAAGTGAGCGACAGAGAATGAACTAGATTGGGAATCTCTGTAGGAGAAGAGAGCCAGTGTGCCAGTGGATTTAAGGTCTTGGACCAGGTTCTTGTTTTCCTTCAGCCGCAAAAGCTTCCTGTGTGATTTTGGACAAGTCATATGTCCACTCCATATTCATGAAGTGGCAGAGTCATGGTAACAAGATCAGCCAATGAGAGCTGAATTAGAAACTGAAACTTAAGGAGCCTGGGTGTGGCCCTGTAAGCTCAAAGTGCTGTGCTGAAAACTGAAACTACTACTATCTGCTCTGAGCTCTGAAGCTGCTGCTTGTGTTTTGTTTGTAACTCTCTACCATGTTGGAAGAAACTACTATTGGTATTGTACATTTTACTCATATATTATTATGTATATAAAGAAGCTAATGAATCCTGCTGAATCAGTCATCTGTATGTGCTTTCTGGATTTGATTTCTGCAATAAACTCTAACAAAGTCTTCTTTCTTCACTCCAATCTACCTCATAGGACTGAAGTTATGGAGCAAAATGGGAGGAAGGAACACAGCCCAGGCTGCTTTATGCTCCTGACCAAAACGTGGGATAGGAATGTAAGAACAACTAGCATTATTTAGTGTGTTGTGTCAAGGCCTTGCAGTTTGCAACTTAATAAATCATGGAAGGAGGCCGATTGCAGAAATGAATTCTCAGTGCTGGATTTGCTTAGAGACACCCATCACTCTGCAGGGTAACCCATCCTCTGTTCTGTAGAGTCAGCCTAAAAGGTCAGCCTGCAGTCAAAACATGACTTTTGTTTTTATTGCAAACAAAATGCACAAATGCGGACTCACTCCACGTAATTGCACAGAAATTTGAAGTTCTATATCCTTAAAAAAGGTTGAGAGATCCCACCCTCTTGGGCCCAGTTGTCTATCTTCCCTCAGAGATATTCTACATTGTGAAAATAGCCAGGCGTGCCACTTTGAAAAGACTGCAAGGGCTGATGTATTGACTTTGGATCTGTTGCACTGGTCTACAGAGCTGTTCTGAAGGGTTCCCAGTGTGAGGAAATGAAGGAAAGATTGTGATGATAGTTGGAATTAAATATTAATTCCCTACATAACACAAGGGGATCTCTTACTTTTAAATAACAGAGGCATAACCTGATCACATTGTTCTGTGGTCTGCGTATCATCTCAATGATAGCAATAGCAATAGCACTTAGACTTCTATACGGCTTCACAGTGCTTTACAGCCCTCTCTAAGTGGTTTACAGAGTCAGCCTATTGCGCCCAACAATCTGGGTCCTCATTTTACCCACCAAGGCTGAGTCAACCTTGGGATACTTTTAGTCCCAAATATTCAATACAAATCCCAAAGAAAGATGAGTATGGATGTTAAATAAGAGATTAAGTGTTAAAATGTGAAAATCATTTTATTTGCCTTCTGGTTTCAATCTTTTTCAGGGAACAGCATGGTGTTCCTTTTCCCCTTCACTCCACAACAAGAAGGAAAATCAATCCTAATGACCAGGCAAAAAATGTCAGCATTGAAACCCCTTCCCTCCCGCAAGACCTTAGCATTACCGGGAAATACTGTAGCACTGAGACTGTATAGAAGAAATACTGTACCACAGAGACTATATTTTACACATCCCTGATTTCTGTTAATAGTCATTGGTGCTGGAAAAAGGTTCTTCTGAGAGATAATTGCACTGTGAGTGGATTCTGCCAGTATAAAATGTTTCAAGCCAATTTATGAAACCTCATTGTATTTCCCAGAGACTAAATCATGGTACTTGGCTACATGTATCTCTCGGCAGTTTAACTGCTTCGAGGCCTTTTGGGTCAGTGATAACGATGGTCTCTGTGTTCTCCTAAATCCCAGTATGAGGAGGATAAAATTGTCATCATGTTACTTATTGTAAGCTAATTGCAGCACGTTTGCAGCTATTCCCTGATTTCATCAAAAGGATTTGGGGTGCGTGTGAGGAGGCAAGGGTGTGATTTTTGAAGTTGGTAAGCTGGGTTCTTCCACCAAGCACTTCTGTGCATTAAATGTTGTTATTAAATGCACCGTTGCGTATTAGGATGCTAAGAAATTAAAATGAGGTCTGTATTCTGGATTACGTTTATGATACATGTATTTACCCCAAACGTATTCAGTGTCCTGTTATCTAAGGAAGATAATGAAATTAGAGAGGAGAAATAAATGAAGCACAAAGGTAGCAGAGGCAGGAACAGGCATCAGGTAGAATTGTCTTTTGGCATCAGCAAAGAACAGAGAAGGTGAGCATGTCATATTGGAGGCTCTGGATGCAGAGAAGACAGAGGAAAAACACCCTTCAGAGCAAAGAAGTAAGGCAAAGAAGAAGCCAGAGATTGGATGTTCATAGAGTTTCTGAGCATGAGGGGAAAAAAAGAAAGCATATCTTCCTGCTTCAGTCAAGCTTCTGCTAATAATCTTCTAAGGCTCCTATCCTTGGACTATTTTCATATTCTTTTGTGGGCTAAATTCACACACTGCCGAACAACTCCAATTGCACAAGTTCTATCAGCTTAGCCGAGATAAGCTGGCATTAGGCTAAATTGGTTTTTTTCCAAAAAAAAAAAAAAAGCCTGCTCACTTTTGTTAGTGGATAATGTAACTTGGCCTATTACGGTTTGAGAGGTGGTACTTTTATGCAAGATCTATTTGCACACACAACCCATGAAGCTGTCTTCATTTGGCTTTTTTTTCTCTCTCTCCTCTTTTCTTTGCATACCACCAATCAGAAGCGAATGACGACGCATATCTTTTTGCCCAAACCCTGGCGCACTCTTTTAAAATCTATTTCTTATAGTAAAAAGAAGGTTTCCACACCTGAGGCTCAATCCCTGCATTCTTGGTGGAGTAAGATGGTCTTGGAGCTTGGAACACCCCTTTAGCTCTTGGAGACAAAATTTTGGAAGAGTAATCAAACGATGCCTCTGGGGATGTTTCAGCATTTGCTCTGATCTTCTGAAATGGAAACATGTTTCCAGGTAACGGAGCGAAGAGGCCAGGCAATGTTCTGCTTGGGCTGGGCTGGACAGGTGGGTACAACAGAGGAGAAGATGCCAAGGGCGAAGTAGAGGAAGAAGCCTGTCTCATATAACCCCCTTCAGGGACTACTGATCTCATGGGCTCTTTGACTGGGGAACGAACAAACAAGGGAGACTGAAGCTGGTAAGGCTGTTGCTTGGAGATGTCCTTTTTGGAGAGCTGGCTTTCTGTCAAGTTGCTGTTGTAGAAAGATACAGGAGGACCTTTTGGAGATCTTGAGGGACTTTTGAGGGTAGGTTGGAATGCCACAGGGGAGAGATGAGTTTCTGAAGTATACTTCCAGGATGGAGGAAGAGACATAGTAGGTGAAGGTGATCTTGCTATATCTGGATGTGACGGGGCTTCAATGACGTACTTCTGCATTCTTGATTGCCTCTTGGCAAACAGTTCTGCCCCCTTTCCTTTCGCCTCTGATAGGCTCTGGTTGGAACTTATTTTAGGTTTAGGCTGTATTTTTGGTGATCTTAAACACGAAGACCACTCTGGTGGAGGATCTCCAAGGGACTGAGTGGGTCCATGTAACGATCTATCTTCAGTTAGAAAGTTAGAGGCATCGGCACCCAATGCAAACGATTCGTCTTCAGGAACTGCTCCTCCTTGTCCTTTCTGCTTCTTTTTATTATCTGAGGTCTGTACTAAATTCAAAAGATCTGGATTAGGACCCACTTTTGGCTTCTCAACAAAGGTGAACATGGACTTCTTAGGTGTTCTGCGGGCTGCAGATTCCTCCAGAATGCCCGTTTTATCTGGAGGAGGTGCTTTGTCCTCTCTGAATTGAGGTCCTGGGCTGCTGTCTTTGGGCCTAATTTCAGGCGGGACCAGGATTTTCTGTTCTTGACTAGGATACAGCGCTGAGTAAGCTGGAGGTGACCTGACCCTCGTCACCGGAGGAGGGCTGGAAAATGTTTCTGCATAGGTGGGCGGTGGAGGAATCTCCGCCACTGGGCCCTTCTCTGCTGGCGAGAGGATTTTAGCTAGTGACTGAGTGCCAAAAGGTCTTGCAGTTCGGTTCTTCACTGGTTGGGGCTTAGACAAAGTCAGGCGCACTTCACAGTACTGCCTATGATTTTGTGTGCTGGCTTCATTAAGACATACATCGGTGGCTTTTCCGGTGTCAGCGGTGGGAAAAAGGTTCTCATTTTCAGTGACTAACTCATCCTGTTCCATGTAGGGCACCTCTCCATTTTCCTTTCTGTCAATGACTGGTTCATTCAGTGTCTTGTTGAAGACAATATTATTCTCCCTATCAATGACAGCTGCGTACAGATCTTTGTCAGGGATATTGTTGTTTTTCTCACTACCTATGGGTAGATATGGTTCTTTATCGAGAACATTATTTTCCTGATCCATATGCAGAAGATACAGTTCTTTTTCAAGAATGGTATCTTTTTTCTCAATGTTAGGGGTAGCCTCATCCTCAGTCTTACCTGGGATATTTTCTGTATTGCCCATAACTGGTCCTTGGTCAACCATAGGCATTTTTTCAAACTCAGTGAGAGGCTCATGTATTCCATTGGTTGAAGTTGTCGTATTCTCTTTAAGGTATACACTGAGTGGGATCTGCTGAAATTCTTCCTCTGGAATATCTTTGGAGGATGTTGCATTTGTTGAATAAAGAATCATCTCACTCTTTTCCTTATTCCAAGGAAGGCCCTGTGCATTGTCTAGGGGATGTTCCACACCCAGTTCCTCCTCGTATTTTTCCATGGTGACTTTTTGCCCCCAGCGTCCAAAATTCTTGAGGCAGAATGAAGCGTTCAGCTTCTTGTTCAGTTTCGGAGTCTGCTTCAGATGTGATTCCTCTCCATGGCTCAGAGTGCAAGGTTGAGTGACAGCTTTGGGGTCTTTCTCCGCAGCTCCTCGTTCTGGGTTGGTTGGCTTTGGGGCTCCTAAGGTGAATGCATTCACTCGCTGCTTGCGTCTGTGAAACAGCAGGACTCCTTTGGAATTGGAACTTGGGGGATTGGTCAACTGAGCAACAATTCTTTGGCTCCTCTCTTTGGCTTCCTTCAGCTCTGTTTCAGACAAGCTTGCACTTCTTGAGATATCTGAGGAAGAAGAAACATACAGAGTACAAAGTTATACATGGGTATGGAATCCCGGAAGTGCACCTCAGCTCACTTTCCATCTATTTTTAAAAGAAAAAACTCTAACATGATTCATTAACATGATTAATAGTCCCTCCTATTTGTGTGCTGCATTAGACGTCTTATTTGTAATTCATTCAAAAGGCTGAACCATCCGAGAAGGCAGAAAACATACCAATGGATCAGTAGCCAGAGAACCTATGTTCAGATGCTAAACCAGAGAAGCACAGGTTGAAATCCTAACCCTTGCCAGCGTTTGCATGTTACTCTGTGACAAGTCACTGGTGCTGATGCTACCTCTTCATATATAGGTTGCCCTCATGTACAACCACAACTGAGCCCAACATTTCTGTTTTTAAGTGAGACACTTATTAAGTGGGTTTTGCCCCCATTTTATTATCTTTCTTGCCACTGCTATTTAAGTCAATCATTGCGGTTGATAAGTTAGTAACCCAGTTGTTAAGTGAATCTGGCTTCCCCATTGACTTTGCTTGTCAGAAGGTCACAAAAGGGGATCCCATCAGTGGTGGGATTCAAAAAGTTTTACTATCAGTTCTGTGGGTGTGGCTTGGTGGGCATGGCAGGGGAAGGATACTGTAAAATCTCCAGTCAGAGGTGGTATTTGCCGGTTCTCCGAACTACTCAAAATTTCTGCTACTGGTTCTTCAGAATTGGTCAGAACCTGCTAAATACCACCTCTGGATCCCATGACCCTGAGATACTTCAACCATCATAAATACGAACCAGTTGCCAAGCACCTGAATTTTAATCATATAATCAGGGGGGTGCTACAAAGGTTGTAATTGTGAAAAAGGTCATCAGTCACTTTTTTTCCTGTGCCATTGTAACTTTGAACGGTCACTAAACAAACTGTTGTAAGTCAAGGACTACCTGTATGAGTTACCTAGTTAGCAGCAACAAATAATGTTAGCAGCAAAGCTATCCAGATGTATTGTTTTGTATCCTTCAAAAAACCCCAACAAGTTACAAGCAAACTGGTAGCATCCTCATGTGCTGTCTTTAAAGGTCCTTCACAATCAACTGTCTTCTAGATAGATTCAGGTCTAGAATCCCTCAAATGTGCACCCTTGTGGCCGTCAGGATTTGTAATGAGTACTTATAATTCCAACACATCTGTAGTGTATTAATTCAGAAAGGTAATTTTAATTCAGAAAGAATTAAAGGTACCTTTGATTCAGAAAGAATGCAGAGATAGATTGATTCAGAAGCCTGGTTTCCATGGTCAACCAGAAGTGAATGTGGAGTTTTGTCTATCAAGAAGTATGAAGGAAATTAAATCACTCTCAGTTTTGTTAACAAGCATTAGATAGGCTATCCCATGGTCTGCGTCTTATCCCAATAGTAAGTTGTTTTGTTTTTCTATTATTTATGGTATTTACTATTTCAGAGAAGTTGACTGAATAAATAGATAAATTCTATAAATTTAATAAAAACCGATCATTTGAACATTTCTCTCTTACACCTCCTACCTAAATATATCAATTCATATTTTAGTATGGTATATTATATATTGAAAGCTTTTACAAATCATACCAATAATCTAAATAAAAATGCACTGTATCTCTCTGCTCAGTTTATTATATAAGGACTAATACTGAATGGGCAACTGCAAATTTCTCTTCATCTATAGACTTGGATTGGAGAGTCCTTCAAATAGTGGAATAAAATAGTCACCCTAATATTGATACTGGTGTCATCCTTTCCCAAACAGGTGCCCTTCGGATATGTTGGGTCTGCAGATTTCATGACTTTGGATGGCAAAGCCTTCTTGGCTAAAGGTAAAGGAAGTTGATGCTCAAGACAGACAGAGGTCACCTGGTGGAAGGGAACTGATGTAGGTTGGAAAGGAAATCGTATTGCTCACTTCCACCACCCTTTTAGTAAGCAAAGGCCAAACTAGTACTATCAAATTGGTATGTGTCAAATAGTTGGGTGCATCCCCACCCTTGGGTGAAGATGTGAATTGCTAACAACAGGAAGCAAGAGAGTAGGGAAGCAACTAGAGACAACAGTTAGCAATAACAGTGAAAAGACATCAACAGCTCTTCTTTCCTCCCTTCCATTTTCACAGGGATCAACTTAAAAGCAGGGTACTGCACATGTTTCACAGATTCCAAAAATATTTAATCACATAAAGCCTGCAAACTGTAATTAGAACAATTATATAAACATATTTGTGTATGGCATGAATAGAGCGCCTGAAATAGATTGCCTAAAATAAAACCAATGTACATTAGTCTTCCTCACTGAGGGTGTTTATCATAATCAAAGCAAATTGACATCAGTCTGGAGCTGAGATAGGAACCTATACCAGTGCCGCTCAGCCTCAGCAATTTAAAGATGTGTGAACTTGAGCTGCCAGAATTCCCCAGCCGGCATGCTAATCTATATCAATCACGTCCCTACAGATTGTAAATTATACTGAACTGAAGGAATTTGCCACCTGTATGGCACCTTTTCAATTTGCCACCTGCACAGCACCTGATTTCATTTTCTACAACAATTTACATGGGCTTCAGTGCTCCTGCTCTAATGGAATGTGTATGTGATTGCTGTTAAAGGTTTTATAACACCTTGCTTTAGAATAGGAAAAAAAAAATCTAGACTTTCTACTCTTTTCTATACAGGACCTGTTTTTTGCAAATGGAATACAAATGTCACAAGAGAAAGTTGCAGCCTTCTTTGTATGCCATTTTTGCTTTGCAATTGTAAATGATTGCATGCAAAAGGAATTTATTGAAAGACTTCAAAGTTTCAAGTTGCAGTTCATTGGGTTTCAAACACCCTGTACAAACACGCTCTAAGCAGGAAATTGGCCCGCTCTAAACTGTCTCACAGAATTCCCTCTGCAGAGGCCAAACGAAGTACAAAGTGCTTGGTTATAATAAAAAAAAAAAGGAAAATAAACCATTGCCTCTACATTGCTAGAAGCTCACTTCTAATACAATTGATGCACAGGGTTGATCTAATTATTTTGCTTGAATTTAACACAAGATGGCAGCGCCTGAAAACAAATCTGTACAGATTGGGGCCTTTTAATGTACTTTCCTACAAGCACTGATTCAAACCCAATTAGTCAAGCCACTTCCTAGAATAGAGCCTACTTAGCATCTCATAAAACCCTGATACTTAGGTCATTTGCCTGCCCTCCCTAAGCTACCTAGGGGAAGTGGGAAGTTGACAAGCTTTTCAAAAGATCTGCCTATGGGTCATGGCAAAAGTTGCTATTAACAAAGGATGTGAAAGGACACTGAATGCATTTTCTGTGGGTGAGCCATTTCCTATGAGCCGTTTTCCTAAAATGGCCATGACTTAGCACCACTTGCAAGAGGAAATATCAGAAACAAGGAATGGTTATAAAAAGCTTACCACCAAACTGCTGACATTCTTGCTGGGGAAGATGGTCTCCCAAGCACACAATTCTCTAAGTTCCTCATTCTGATCTCAGTTTCCCAAATGGGTCAGGACCAGATCACCTCTTATTGTTTTTAAAAACCATTAAGAGTCCAATGAAGGTTCTTTGAACAAATCAAAAGGAGCCATGCTCAGTTACTTTAACTAAGCACCATAATTAAGTAATCCATGTTACAACCTGCCTTCTGAAGTGATACTTAATTAAATGATTCTGGTTGTGGTTATGATAGTCCTAAACTTGAAGACTTAATAACAAGCCTTCCTAGCCAAATGATACTCCAACCTTTTTCCCATGCCTTCAGATATATGAGTACATCTTACGTTCAGTTTTCTACTTGGATATACCAGAACTATAAGAACCCAACTAAGAAACATGAAAGATGATTAAGAAATCAGTCACAAAAGATGATAAAAAAGAGAAAAGAATTTTGGAAGTGAGAAGTAGGTGTGGTAGCAGAAGTAGGATGAACAAAGAGGAATCAAAATGATAAAAAAGGAAGCAGAGAAGGATCCTGGGAAGAAAGTCGGGTAAATAGCAGCTCACCTATAGTTATTTTATGAGTACCGTATTTCCCCATGTATAAGCCACCCCTTTTTTCCAAAATTTTCAAGCCCAAAAAGTAGGGGGGTGGCATATACAAAGCAGGTACACTTTTTATACGTGAAAAATGCATAAAATAATAAAGTAGGAATAAACTGGTTTTCCAGCAGTATGCTATACTTTTTTGTAAAAAATTGTACGTGATGATACGATTACGAGTGCGAGTATGCGATAGAAATGCATACGCTAGGCATCGGCCTGAATGCTTCGTTCCTACTCTCGTTCCGATGCGTAGATTGCTAGCGTCACCCGCACCGCTTTCGGCGTCATGACCGAAGTTGTAGATCTAGACGGCGAATTTTGTTTCTTTGTAAATTTTCTTTCTTCATAACTTGTTTCTCTAATAAAATATTTTTTTCAAAACTTCACAGTCCAAAAATTGGGGGGGTGGCTTATACAAAGGGGGTGCTTATACATGGGGAAATACGGTAATAGGCTAGTTTGATTGTTTTTATCCCTGTTGGTTTGCATTGTTTTACTGGCTGTACACTGCCCAGAATTGGTTTAGATGGGCAGCTGTACAAATGTCTTAAATTAATAAATACATTTACCTCTTAATTATTAAAAGGATAACAAGGAGAGAATGCAGTAGAGATTGCCTGAAAATTATTGACACCTGTTCCAAGAAACTTGCCATTGATGAAAAATAAGGGGGTATCAAAGATGAGGATTCAAATGCAGGAAAGAAGGGTGGGATTAAGAAAGCCGTTCTAGACCCTATCAAGTGGAAGTTCTGCACTTTGGTTGTATTAGTTTGATTTCCAAATCTGCACAGGTATTTCAAAGGGCTACAGTCATATTCATACACAAAATGAACCTAAGAGGCATGGGAATGTGTTGTTGAGAGTAAAATACTTTTCATGTTGTTTTCACATGACTTTATGATCTTAGTGAATAAGATGCAGAAGCCAAGTGGTCTTGAATA